GTGGGGGTGGGGGGCATTTTTCTGCATGTTTACTTGAGTCTCAGAAGAGAAAGGCAATCATTCCACTAAATCATACACTGTCTTGTCTTTGTCTCTGTCCTATTACATCACCATTTTACTTCCCTCCCTCCCTTTCCTCCTTCCATCCCTTCATCCTTCCCTTCCTATAGAAATAGTAACAGCCATTTAAACAATTTAGCTTCAAGATTTCTTATCATAAAATCTTTTGGTAAGGTTTCCAAAAATGCCTCACAAACCCCAGCTTCAGTGTCTGAAATAATTTCCTATTCCCTTCAACCCACATAGCTGTTGAACTTGGAAATGTTTTCTAATTCATGCTCTCGTGATAAACTTGTGCTCACTGGCTGTAGACACACAGCTGGAATTGTGACCTCCTTCCTGGCTGGTAGAGCTGGGAGCTCGTGGCAGGGATATGTTCCAGGACAATGACATAGAAATTGGAAGCTAAAATTAGCAGCAGCCCAGCTGGCTGTGGGCAATGTGCGCAGAGATGGGAAGAAATCAAAGCATTCCTGGGGCTAGAAGCATGGGAACAGACGGATCTGAAGGTGAGCCGTCAGCTCGGGTGACCCGGTCAGGGTGAGAGGAGAGATGGGAGGCAGTGGTTTCCCACTAGAGAGACAGATGTCAGGAGAGGAAACCACAGCAGACAGTGAGGCTGGGGCCACGGCTCTCGCCACAGCACAGGTGCCACGTGGGCATTTACGCAGGTGCCACCTCTGCTTGCTCTGGTGCCTAGGATATAGTCGGCCCAGAAGAGGAACTGCAGCCCAAAGAGCCTCCTCCCCAAAGTCACAGATGCTCAGTCAGAATGTGGGACTCACTCTGCATTCTCTGATCTCACCTCCCTAGAGGAGAGCCCCACAGGGAGACTCAGATTGGCAGAGTGGTGGGTAGTGGGTGGTGGCTGGTGGATGGCCACTGAAGATCAGTTCTTAGAACCTTGTGTGTCGGGGTCGATCACTGTAACAGAATACCAGACTGGGTTAGTTATAAAGAGGTTTGTCGTGTGTGTGTGGTGTGTGTGTGTGTGTGTGCGCGCGCACGTGCGCACATGCTCATGTGAGGTGCATGTGTGCACTGGAGGTCGAAGGCAACCTCAGGTGTCTCCCTCAGTGGCTGTGCCCTGTTTTTGTTTTTGCTTTTTTCTTCTTTTGTCTGTGTTTTGAGATGGGGTTTCCCTGTAGCCCCAGCAGACCTGGAATCTATTCCATATAGACCAGACTGGTCTTGATCTCATAGAGATCCGCCTGGCTCTGCCTCCTGAATGCTAGAACTAAAGTCATGTACCACCATGCCTGGCCCACTCTGTTTTTTGAGGCAAGATCTCTCACTGGCTTGGGACTCACTGATCCAGCTAGGCTGGTTGGCTGGGGAGCCCCAGGGATCTGCCTGTCTGTGCCTCCCCCATGCTGGGATTACAGGCATTCAGCTTTTCTTTTCTATTTTTTTTTATTTTTTATTTTTGGTAGGTTCTGGGATTGAACTCAGGTTTCAGATTTGCATGGTGTCTTAGTTTGTTTTCTATTCCTGTGATAAAACATTAGCCAAAACCAACTTGAGGAGGAAAGGGTTTATTTCATCTTACAAGTTACAGTCCATCATAGAGGGAGGTCAAAGCAGGAACCGGAGGCAGGAACCTGGAGGCAGGAACTGAAGCAGAGGCCATGGAGGAACACTGCTCGCTGGCTGGCTTCCCCTGGCTTGCTCAGCTACCTTTCTCATACAGCCTCGGCCCGTCTGCCCAGGGATGGCACCACCTGTGGTGGGCTTGGACCTCCTATATCCATTAGCAAACAAGAGAATGCCTCACAGACAAGTCCAAAGGCCAATCTGATGGAGGAAATTCCTCAGCTGAGGGTTCCTCTTCCCAGGTGGCTCTAGTTTGTTTCAAGTTGACAAAAGCTAACCAGCACACAGCAAGCACTTTACCTTACTTTGGAACTCAGTTCTGGATATCTACAGGCCTGGTGCCAGCATCTGCTTGACTCCTAAGGAGGAACATGGACAGCTGGGCAGAAAAGTGGAAGAGAAGAGAGGGCCCATGGGAGATTAAGTGGGAGGGGGATGGTGGGCATGGTGGGCAGCACTGGGCTTGCCTGCTGACAGCTGCTCTGGTGGTCCCTGACCCACTCTCCAGACAGTGGGATCTCCCAAGAGAAGCATCGGTCCCTCTTAGTGGCCTCAGCCACTTACAAAGGCCCCTCACCTCTCAGCAGCATTAGAGCAGGAAGTTTTAGAGGAAGAATATTCCTGCTGCCCCTTTGCCCCCCAAACTTCACTTCTACCCCACATGCGAAATGCATTCACTCTGTCCCAGCCGTCCCAGTTCTTAACTGCTTCAACATCAACCCCGGAATCCAAAGCTTGAGTCATCTGAGACTCAAATTCCTAGAGAGCTGGTAAAATTGAAAGCAAAGGGTCTGCTTCAAGATGCAGACAGAACACAGGGCAGAGCTTCCTCTTCCAGAAACAGGAATGGTCCAACCTAGAGCAGTAAGTCTCAGACCCAGCAGCGTAGGCATTAGGTCTTCAACCCAGAATAATCTTTCACGCTATGTTCTACCTCCTGGACACACTGGGGCAGAGGCCAGGCTCCAAGGCTCTGGACAGCCCTACCTCATGATTGGCTGCTCCTGGGGTTAGGGTCACCACCTAGGTGCCTGTGGCTTTCTGGGGCAGGTGTTGCATGTTGCTATTGGTGTTAACATAGTGGGGTCCCAGGGGTGGGGCCCTCTCTCCCAAAGCTCCACCAGCAAACACCAGAAGTGTTTGCCACAGTGCATTCCTGCCTGGGTCTACAGCTGTTCCAGAGCTCTTTGGCCATCTAGGTAGGAGCCACCAGGACCCCACAGCTCCTACTTTCGGTACATCTATGGAAGTAGCTGCAGGTGGACGCTGTCAGGGTTTGCCGCTTGGAGAGGTAGTGGGAGCCATATCATTGGTAGAGTGCAGGGGACCCACTGCAGCCCTGGGAAACTGGCGCTTTGAGTCCTCAAGGCCCTGTCCTTCCGAGCCTGTGGTGGAGGGGCTGCATTTTGAGCCCTGCAAGGCCTCCAGGCCTTTCCCACAGCTCAGCACTCAGCTCGGGCTCCCTGACTCGGGTCAGCCTCCTCCTCCCCCACCGTCAGCCACATCGTCAGCCACATCGCCTCACTCTCTTCCAGAAGTGTTTGCCACAGTGCATTCCTGCCTGGGTCTACAGCTGTTCCAGATCTCTTTGGCTGGTCACACCTTTTTTATTCTTTACATGTCCTGACTGGGACTTTTCCTGTGCTCTCCTTCCTTTGAAGTTATGAATTCTTTCTACATAATTCTTTCTCCTCTTTATTTCAACCTAAGTGGTTAGAAGTCTCCACACAGTTCCTTCTGTGCCCAAAGTCCAGCATCTTCACTCTCAAGCCTTGTTTTCCATGAAAGCCCACAGGCCGGGACAGCACAGATCTGGGACAGGCGTGACCCCCTCCAGTTCCACAGGAGACATCCTCATCTCTCTGGACCCTGTAGAATGGCCTTTCCTTCCTTGTAGCACCTGCTTGCTCTCTGACTGTGACCTCTCACCCAGTCTCAGAAGCCAAACACTTCCTGTAATGGTCTTACCTTCTGAACGCCCCCACACCCCCCACAGAACACCTTAACACTGTGTTTAGGGAATTCCAGGATTGTCCCTCACCCATCTCTGCCCATCACTTGGTTCAACACCACGCCCACTTTTTCGGGTATCAGTATAGCAACAACCCCAGTTCCTGGGACAAATTTTCTGTTTCAGTTCCTTTCTGTGGCTGTAACAAAATACCTGAGCCCAGACATAAGAAAAGAATTATGGTTGAGGAGTGTAGTTTTGGCAGTCCAAAAGTGTGGTGCCAGCTTCTGATAAGCTTCTGATGAAGGCTCCCTGCTGCCCCAGGCCAGGTGAAAACCAGAAGAGGGAGGCAGGTGCATGCTGAAAAATGTGGTTATGTGAGAGTGTAGGGAGGAGCCAGGCTTGTTTTGTAAAAAACACTCTTGCCAGAACTAGCCCATTCCTGAGATGAAAATCCCACAGAAGGGTGTCAACATCCCCTGCTGCCTGCATCCCCTCTTCCTGGCCTCTTACCTCTCAACACCACCACATGGGGGCCCAGTGGCTCTCTGAGTTTTGATGGGAGCAGCTGTATTCAAACCTTGCATCCTCCTTCCTCTCTTTGGTTCTGGGAGATCTAGAGTGGTATAGATATTGCTGTGGGTGTGCATAGGGGATGTGGACATTTGGGGTTCAGAGGGAGGGCAGATGAAGAGGGTGTTGGTGGAGAGATGTGCACATGTGGGGTGCAGGGAGCGGGGGCAGGTGAAGGTGGTGGATGGAGCAGCTGTTTATCCTCAGCCCACTGTCAGGCCTTATAGGAGCCACCTACCAAGGACCTTCTCTGCTCCATTCCCAGCAAGGGTTTAGAGGAGTCACTTCCTCTCAACTCTGGCTCATTCACGATTGTCTCCTAGGAACAAAAACGGATCTTGGAGATGGGCATCACAGGTCCGGAAGGCCACGCTCTGAGCAGACCCGAGGAGGTGAGGACTCCCCACTCAGCACTTGGGGGCTAAGTAAATTCCAGAGCCCTTTAGCTGGAACAGCCTAGTCACCCCAGGCCCCTCACCTCCTCTCTGCTGGGTTCTCTTCTTCCTCCCTTCCTCCCCTCTCCTCAGCTCGGTCCATTCCTGCTTCCCCTCTCAGTTCCCTTCTCTCCTTGCTGTTGTGTCAGGGTATTTAATGAGCAGCTCCACCCCAGAGTGGAATGTCCTGAAACTCTTCTAGAAGCACCAAGCTTGGAGCCACAGCAGATTGTCAATTAAAAGCAACCCCCAAATAGAAATCCTCACGGTGGTTTGGCTGCTGGTCCTGCTGGTGTGGTTGGTCTAGAGCAGGTAGAGATTAAACAAACTGGCCCCAAGGTCCACAGATTTAGTGAATGAATAACACATGCTAGTCAGACACAGGAATGACCTGATGTTTATACAGTGTTCCTTGGGAAACACGGGGGAACACAGAGTCCCTAACAAAACCTGCAGACTGTTTCCAGTCAAGGTCCAAGACACCCATCTGTCTCTTAACCCTCCTGACAGATTTATTTTCACTTATTTTTTCTTCTAAGAACATTTCAGTGAGAAGTGTGGAAGGACATGGATTCTGAGAGAGTCCTGGGAGCTCTCAGTGGCTGCCATTTCCCCCTCTGCCCCTAGCCCCCGCAATGCTATCCTTTTGTTTGTTCTGTCCCCCAGCTGGAGGCCGAGGCTGTGTTCCGGGCCATCGCCATTGCAGGCCGGATTAATTGCCCTGTGTACATCACCAAGGTCATGAGCAAGAGTGCAGCAGATATCATCGCCATGGCCAGGAAGAGGGGTAGGTAGTGTTCATCCTCCTGAGGGGCAGCTGGGTTACAGAGGGGCGTTCAGGGCAGAGGCCTGCCAGGAGCTGGCCACCTTCAGCGCTGAAGGGGCGGCCTGGGGTTGCATAGCATGGAGTGGGTTTTAAGTTTGGGTCCTAATGCACCATTTGTTCCTGAGAAGCTTTGAGCTTCTCACGGTAATGGTCCCTGCCTCCTGGGGTCAAATGAGACCTGTGTCCTGGTGGCTTTGCTGGCTTTAGTGCCTCTCCTGGGTTTCATGTGAAGCTGATGACGAGGGAGAGATGACCTTCAGACCCCGCATCCTCTGTCCTCTTCTGGGCCACTTCCTGGGTTCTTCACCTGACATGGCTCTTCTGGGCTCCGCCCAGGGCTTCCATTAGGAGACTGCGCTCATGGTCACTGCAGGGCCCGAGGGAAGGAGGGAGGCATTTTCCTGGAACCTACAGTGCAGGGGCAGCAGGAGCTGGCCTTGGAGGAATGCTAGCATAGGTCAGCTACCCAGCTCTAAGACTCAGACAAGCCTGACAAGCCCCCCACCAACCGCCCCATTCTAGTTCCCTTTCTGTGACCAAGACAAAAACCACAACCAAAAGCAATTGAGGGGGGAAAGCATTTATTTGGCTTACACTTCCAGACCCCAGCCCATCCTTGAGGGAATTCAGGGCAAGAACCCAAGTAGGACACCCACTACATGGACAGGGCCATCCCTGACTACTGTCTCTGAGTGATGTGAGACTGACCATGGGCCAATGGAGACAGCCATGATAAAATCAGCAATGACAACATAGCCCCCACATCTGTCCTTTCCACAACACTGGATGTGAGACTGACCATGGGCCAATGGAGACAGCCATGATAAAATCAGCAATAAGGACAACATAGCCCCCACATCTGTCCTTTCCACAACACTATGTCCATCACAGCCATAAACTTAAGGAGTTTAATAAATTAATGCACATACTTAATAGATCTGTGAGGGTTCATCTGCGTCCACTTGACTGGATTTTGACAAAATAGTTTTTGTTTTATTTATGTTTATCTGTATGATTGTTTTGCCTGTGTCTGAAAGTGCACCATGTGTGTGCAATGCCTGTGGAAGCCAGAAGAAGGCACTGAAGTTACAGAGAGTTGTTAGCTACCATGTGAGTGGTGGAAACGGAACCTGGGTCCTCTAACTGCTGAACCATCTCTCCGCACCCTTGACGGGATTCAAAATCACTCAAGAGACTTATCACGGGTGTGTCCTTGAGTGTGTTTGCGCAGTTTGAGTCTTAGCACACCACATGTCCCGACAAGCTCTGAGCCTCCACCTCCTCTTTTGTGGCCAGGGTAATGGTCCTTGCCTCATGGTTTAACTGAGGAGAGAAAACCCACCCTGCACGTGGGCGGCACCATCCCCTGGGCTGGGGTCTCAGCCTGAACAAACAGGAGAGGTTGGGCTGAGTGCCCTCACCCTTTTCTCTGCTTCTGCCTGTGGCTGCGAAGTGACCAGCCGCCTCAGGCTGCCACCGCACCTCCCCTTGTCAGCTGTGAGCCAGAATAAACCCGTCCTTCATGAAGTTGCTTTTCTGGGGCATCTTGTCACAGCAATGAGATAAGTAATGCAATCAATACCTGAAATATTATTTTAGTACGTCATCAGCACAAAAATCATTAATTTTTTTTAATTTGACCTCAGTTTTTAAATGTACTGTCTCCAAATCTCTGGCATATTTTACATGTACAACACTGTCAATTCTGACTAGCTACACATGCCCTCAGATGCTCCATAGCCACCTGTGGCTACCCGATAGGCCAGAGCAGCTCTGAGCCCCCAAGACCTTGTTTTACTGTTTTGAAGACCAGGCTCACAAATGGAGGCTTGAGTGGCACAGCTTGCCTGGGCTTTGCTCCATCTTCTGGATCTGGAAGCCCAGGCTCACAGAGGACACAGAAATCAGAATGGAACAGCAGGGGGCAGGAAGTTAAGGAGGCCTTGTGTGGAGCTACTGAGCCAGAATGTGACCACGAGCCACATAAAACAATGTGCATTTAAACGAAGAGAATTTGAGAGGGCGTTTTTAACTGGCACTATCATGTGATACGATTACATGGCATGATCACTTTAAGGTACTCCAGAGCCACCTGTGGCCTCCATCATGGCTGCTGGGGTGGGCAGTACTAGTTAAGAGTATCTCAGTGCTGCTGGGCAGACCTGCTCTGCTGAAGTTCAAAGCCAGTCTCCTCTTGACAGCAGAATGGTCCGGGAAACTGCGGCAGGGGCCGTCGCGGTGTCCCGCCACCCTGGAACCACCTGTGGTGTGTTCAGAAGGAATCTGGGCTTCTGGAACCCAGTTCTCAGGAGGCAGCCCACCAGCAGTGGCTATGGAGATACACCCCAGTACCCTAACTTCAGGATGACCCCCAGACTGCCCCATGCCTCCCGGGCTCCCTGGCAGAGTGGAGTTCATGGTCCGTAGCTGGGAGCTGGTGACAGTCCCCTCTTCCTGGCTTCTCCTCCTCTCTGGGTCGTTCCTTGATTCCTAGCCAGTGTTTCCCGAAATCACCTTCTAAATGTAACAACCCTGGGACCAGACTGCGATGGAGGATTGACTCAGGCTGAACCAAACCAAGACTGCAAATGCACCTCTGCCTCCCATTGTGAGCCCAGCAAAGGAGGCTGTGATAGCAGTGTCTAAAAACAGACGGCAGCAGCTATGGCCAGAGGCTGCCAGGCAGCTCGGCTGGAGCCATCCCCAGGAAGCACATGAAGGGTGTGAGGTTTGGTGCTCACAGGGTATCCCGTGGTGTTGCCTGGGAGGAAAGTGCCTGGTGATCAGCCTCCAGCTGGTCTCTTCTGCAGACTTCCCTTTTGTATGTCAGCACAGAAGCTGTTGGCTATGACCGTATTCCTTGTGTTTACCCCTCAAGGCCCCCTCGTCTTCGGCGAGCCCATAGCTGCCAGCCTGGGGACCGATGGCACCCACTACTGGAGCAAGAACTGGGCCAAGGCGGCGGCGTTTGTGACCTCCCCTCCCCTGAGTCCGGACCCCACCACACCTGACCACTTGACTTCCTTGCTGGCCTGGTGAGAACCGTGGGGTTGAGGGGTTGGGGGTGTGGCCCAGGGGCTTCTGGGGGCAGAGAATGCACAGGTGGGACTGGGCTAGATGCTTAGTGAGAGAGGCTTGGGGTCTGTGTTCACAAAACAAAACTCAGTGTCTTTTCTGTCAGGCCTTCGTGGACCTGAGGCTCAGTTTCACCTCTACTGTGTGTTCATGTTTGTTGATACCTTCTCACAGCAGTTCAGCACAGTTTATGTACCTACTGCATTCCACGTAGGATTCAAGTCCTGCCTTTGACACAGTCACAGAGTCTTGTCACAGCACATACACTGTCTCCATCTCGCTGAGTTTGCTCATTGGCCATGTGGGGAGAATAAAATGCCTGCTATTGCTGATCTAGTTATAGGACAGCAAGTAAAAGCCTGGATGAGTGGATAAGCGGCCACCACTGCTCTTAAAGCATCCATGATGGTACGTGTGCATAGTGTGTGCCGCACAGTAGGAGTGCAACCACTCTAGCCCCTTTACTCAGCCGGTGTGAGGGAAGCGGACTGACGATATAGTATCAAGGCCACACAGTGAGCTGAGGGGACAGGCTGCCCTGGAAAGGGAGGTGCATACTTGGCCTGGACCCCGAGGCTTGGAGGAAGTGAGTCAGGGCTGGAAAAGACAGGACTTTGCAGCAGAAGGAGCCGTGTGTGTGTGAGGCAGGGAGAGGCCAGGGTGTGCACCCACGTGGAAATCTGTCCCCAAACGATGCAGAAACCATTGACTTCCACATGCACCCAAGCCCATAGCCTAGTGAGTGGCGGATGCTTCCTAAAGCAAACAAAGTTCCTCTTGGGCCCCCAGATCTTCGACCCCAGCCCTGACCCTGGCGTGCTACCCTACACTCTTGGCCAACTAAGGAAGGAACATGGCTGAAGAGGCCCTAGGACCCGATGGCTTCTTCTGCCCGTGGTCACAGCCACCCATGTCAGTGCCTCTGGCCTCTACGGCCCTTCTGTGCCCAAGCCAACATCGTGCTGTCCACGGTGCTGACGACTTCTAATGGAACCATGCCAACCCTCCCTAAGGACACACTCTGATTTCTCCTCCCAAAGAGGAGCCTACCGAGCGTGACCTCAACTTGACCCCTAAATAACCTCCCACTTGGCCCTCACTACAGGCTGACCTCACCTGGCCACCCCTGCCCTTGCCTCTCTCTGTCCAGTCCACTAGACTGGGGCTGACAGTCATCCCCAGGCAGGACTGTGCCCCAGGGCCTTTGCATTTACGCCCCCGACCCTGCCCAGGGGCCTTTGCACTCACCCCCACCCCTCCTAGGGCCTGTGCACTCACCCCCAGGGCCTTTGCACTCACTCCCCACCCTGCTCAGCACTTCCACGGGACACTCAGTTTGCTTCTTTGCTGTGTCAGATCTTTGCTGGAAGGTTCCTTCTCAGCGAGGTATTTTCTGCTCATCAGATTTTAAATGACAGCTCAGCTCATCCACATCACTCCTTCCCCCAGTTTGCTCTGGTCTTCTTCCTACACCAAGTCACTGGTCCATGCAGCACACCAAGAAGGAATGCAGGAACCTGGTCTTCCTGTTCTTGCATGACCATCAGGGTCTCACTCTACACCAGACACACAACAAGCATGTGATGTGGCTTTGCTGAATAAACGAATGCAGGTGACCCCCAAACACAATGTCCCTGTGCCTCTACGTGATGGATGTGTCCCAGGCCTTTGAAGTAGACTCAGCATATGTTTATGAGCACCAAGTAGACTGGGCACATGTTTATAAGTGCCAGGTAGACTCAGCACATGTTTATAAGCACCAAGTAGACTCAGCATGTTTATAAGCACCAAGTAGACTCAGCATGTGTTTATAAGCACCAAGTCAGGATCTCATCACTGATGCTGGCCTCCAGGCTCAGGTTCTGGCTGCATCCAATGGTCCTTATCTCTAGCAGCTCAAGGGACCCAATGGCAAGCCCACAGATATGTTGCTCAGCTGTGACCAGTGCACTTGCTCTGTGAGCCCAGCACAAGAGCCTCAGCTGTCCTAAGCCGTTAGCCCCACACTAATACGTCTCCTGCGACATGCACAGACTGAGACTTCAACCTGGGGGTCCACAGGCACTTGCTCGTGGGCTCTGAGGTGACTGGCTTTCATTTAGTGACTGCCTTATTTTCTTTTAAAGCGTTGAGATCGGGCCGGGAATATGGCTAGTGATTGCCTAGCGTGTATGAGACCCTGTGCGCTGTGAATGTAGTTCTGAGCCATACCTTCTTTCTGTCTTCACCAGTGGAGACCTCCAGGTCACAGGCAGTGGCCACTGTCCCTACAGTACTGCCCAGAAGGCTGTGGGCAAGGACAACTTCACCCTGATCCCCGAGGGCGTGAACGGCATAGAGGAGAGGATGACCGTCGTCTGGGACAAGGCAGTGGTAAGGAGTACCCTGTCTGTCCCCTGGAATGTTCTACAAGCACTCTGCCTGACCGACATGCCAACAGGGTGTGCCTTCAGAGCTCTGGAATCTTCCTTTTTAGAGATGGGCACAGATGAGGCCAGAGGACAGGCATGACCTATGAGAAACTAGCCCTGGGGTGTAGTCCTTGGCCTCCTGACTCCACAGCCCTTGTATGAAGAATGAAAAGCTGTTCATTGGTTAGAGCTGTGCTTTAGTTAATATAAAATAGCACTGTGAACTCTGTGTGTGTGAGAGAGTGAGACAGAGAGAGAGACAGAGAGAGACAGAGAGACAGCAAGCGAGAGAGAGAGAGAGAAGTGTTTGGAGCTGGAGTACTGAGTGGGTTGAGAGGAAATTCTTGTTACAAATGAAGCCCAAGGTCACTGTGATCACTGACCTGAAACTGCATCTCTCTCTCTCCCTCTCTCTCTCTCTCTCTCTCTCTCTCTCTCTGTGTGTGTGTGTGAAGGTCAACCTCAGGCTCTCTCCTCAGGCACCATCTTCCATATTTTTTTTAAAAGTTTCATTGGGTTTTAATTTTGAATGTGCATGTGTGTAGCATGTGTGTATATGTATGTCTGGGGGTGTGCATGTGCACAGTGTATGTGTGGAAGTCAGAGGACAACCTACAGGAGTCAATTCTCTTCTACAATGTGGGTCCTGGGGAGCACACTCATGTCATCAGGCTTGATGGCAGGCACCTTTACCTGTAGCGTCATCTTACCAGCCTCCATCCTATTTTTTTTGAGACAAGGCTTCACTGGCCCGGAGCTTTGCAGGTAGGTAAGGCTGGCTAGTTCTGAAGGCCAGATATCCTGTCTCCATCTCCCCACTGTTGGGATTATAGGTGCTCACTGCTGTACCTGGTTTTTTACGTGGGTTCTGGGGATTGAACTTGGGTCATGATGCCTGTGTGGCAAGCACTAGCAACTGAGCCATCTCCCTGGCCTACATTTACCTTTTATAAACCTTGGGCCTGGGTGACATGGGAGACCATTGTAGTGTCTCTTGTGTGTCAGCAGGCCTCTATAGTTGTCCTGCTCTGATGGGACCAGGCTCTATACTCTAGAGGGTGGTCAGCTTTCAGCCATGGGAGGCTAGGACCATGCTACAGACCCTGGTCTATGCTCATCTTTCCTCCCCCTCATGAGTGGGTCTTGTCTTCAGGCTACTGGCAAGATGGATGAGAACCAGTTTGTGGCTGCCACCAGCACCAACGCAGCCAAGATCTTCAACCTGTACCCAAGGAAAGGGCGGATTGCTGTGGGCTCAGATGCGGATGTGGTGATCTGGGACCCAGACAGGATGAAGACCATAACAGCCAAAAGTCATAAATCAGTGAGTTCCATGAGACTTTCGAGTTTGGATGGGTGCTTTGTAGACGTTTTGGAAGCCTTTGGTTAACATGACTTAGGAGTTCCCCAAATCTGTTATGTAGCTGATCAACCACCCCATCTTCTATTGGAGAGACTCCAAGGAGTGGGCTCAGCCAGGCAGCAGCCATGATCTTGCAAGCATCCTCCCTGCCCCTCTTCTCTCTCTGGCTCTGCCCACAGTACACGCACAGCCATTCCCAGCCATCGGATGCCATTTGCAACTCCATGCGGTGTGCTGCTGGGCTCAGAGGTAGAGAGTGTTATTTCCAAGATCTTGTCTAGTTTAGCTAATGTGTTGGAAAAGATCTGATCTCAAAGATCAGAAACTGCCCACTTGGCTTTGCAGGTCACTGCTATCAGCCGGGAAAAGTGAGTCCAACCCAAGAGGGCACACTATGGCATATTCTCTGTATGCCCCAGCTGTGGGGTTGGGGTCATCTCTGCTCTGTCACAGACTCCAACACCTCTTAGCATGACCCACTGAGATCTGGTGTCTAGATTCACATCCACACTCCAGACATACAAGACATATGAGGGGACTACGGGTCCCAGGCTCAGTGGAGTGTGCTAAGGAACTTAGGCCAGGAGTAGAGCATGTGCTCATAGTGGACGACTTACACCGGGGTTCTCACCACCCAGGTCACTGGCCAGGTGCCCATGGACAGGACACTAGCACAGGGAGGTCTCCTAAGAAATCCATGAGGACCAATTGTTGCATCTGATGACATGACCTTTGTCCTTGCTTGGCTACAAGAGGCCTGGCACAGAGATAGAAGTCTTGGTAGTTGAATAGCTGGCTTGGCAACTGTGGTCATTATTAAAAAAATCTTTCCTGGCAACACCACTGGCCGTGCCCATCCCCCATGTCCACAGACAGGGTCAGGGGAAGGAAGTCTGAGGTCCTCCCTGGGGTAGGTTCTGTAAGGCCGGTGGGGCACATGGTTATGCCACCCTGGGTCACGGATGCTGTAATATATGTACCCTCTCTGTGGAGGAGTCAGTGGAAGAGTAGCTTGGAAGGTCTTGTGGGTGAGAGGGTGTACCTCTCTCCATCCTGCCTGCTGAGCTGCCTTTTAGTACACGGGTTCAAGGCTGGCAGAAGATGAGTGTTTGAGTCAGCGCCACAGAGGCCGCTCCTGAGGACCCAAGGGAAGAATAGAACACCTTGAGCTGGTGTTCTATTTACTTTCAATTGCTGTGATAAAACTCACCAAAACCAACTTAGGGAGGAAAGGGTTTATTTGGCTTGTAGCTCACAGTGCATCCTCAAGGGAAGCCAAGGCAGAAGCTCAGGGCAGGAACCTGGAGCACAGACCATGGAGGAACGCTGCTTACTGACTTCCTCCGCTGGCCTGTGCTCAGCCTGCTTTCTTATGCAACATAAGACCACCTGCCCAGGGGTGGCACCACCCACAGTGGGCTGAGCCCTCCCACATCACTCAACAATCAAGAAGATGCTCCACAGACATAGGCACAGGCCAGTCCTATGGAGGCAATTCCCCAACTGAGGCTCCCTCAACCCAGGTGTGTCAAGTTGACAACTGACACTATCCAGTGCAGCTGGGTACCCCATTGGCCTCATAGTCTCCTGGGATCAGTGTGGAGCCTGGGGCTGGGGAGGCTCCGGGCTGAGGACGAGGGACCGGTGGTCACAATCCCGCCTTGTGTTCTCTGTACTCTGTTCCTTTAATCCTTGTGTCGCCCTCTGAGCTAGGGACTCTGTCATGGTTGGTGAGTATGTGACCAGAGAAGGTCCCTGCACTGGCTTCCCATGACTTCTGTAATAGAGTGCCACAGCTGGATTATTCAGCATTCATTTCTTCTCTCATGGTTCTGGGAGCCAAAGGTGTGATGTGAAGGAGTTGTGTGAAGGGTCACGTGTGCCTGGGAGGTTCCGGGTCAGCCTGCTCCACACCAGCAACCAGCCCCTCACGTTCCTTGTCCTGTAAATGCAATGTCGCTCCAATTTCTGCCTCTGTGACTACAGGGCTGTCCCTATGTTCTTGTGTGATATCAACTTTGTTTCTTCTTTCTTTTTTCGTGCTTTGAAGCCCCAGCTAATCTAGAACTCAGTATGTAGACCAGGCTGGCCTCAATCTCACAGAGATCTGCCTGCCTCTCCTAAGCACTGGGATTAAAAGTGTTGGGAGGTCTGGTTCTTCTATTTTTTTTTTTTTTTTTTTTTTTTTTTTTTTTTGAGACAAGGTCTCACTACATAACACATTCGTAGGGCTTGGAATCCTCCACAGCTCTGGAGTTGCAGGCATGTGCCCCCATGCCTGGCCACATCAACTGATTATAAGAACACCAGTCATTGGCTTTAGGGTCCCTGCTTCCAGTGGGACATCCTCCTAACTGGTCCTATCTATAATGACTCTGTGACTCCATTTCCAAACACAGTCATTTCCCAGTTCCACCCATAGCAGCAGGTCCCCGGCCTGTGCGGCTCCCACTGTGAGGACATTATCTTCAAGTTGGTAAGCTCAGGGATGGGGAGGTGTCCCCTTGGGTCAGACCAGCTCTGGTATTTTTTTTTTCATAGCTACAAGGGTAGTTCCGGCTCCCAAGGGCAGTTTGGCCAAAGGATTCCTTCTGCTACAGCCTCTGCCCAGGCCACCACCAGCACCCACTGTCGGAAGTTTGTGCTTTCTGGAGCATGGTTTGAAAAGCTGTAGCAGGGTCTTGCTTTATTTATTTCTTAGATTAGAAATATTACTTCTAATGATTAGAAAGATATCCTATCAGTCAACAATTCATGTTTAAAGCCCCCTTTTCTATAAAAATGCATATGATTCCTCATCTTAGCAGGAGAGAGTAGTTGCTTAAGCCCTAGTCCACAGGTGGCTGCATGTTTGCGTGTGTGTAGACTATGTGCTTCTTTAGTTTTTAAAATTGACATATAATTCACTGCATAAATTACAATGTCACAGAGCATACAGCCAGTGGTATTCAGTGCATTCCAAAGGCTGTGCTAAATCTAGAACATTCCATTACCCATCAGAAACACTGCACTCAGAACAGACCCTCTTGTTACCTTATCTCTTGGTCCCTGGCAGCCACTGACCGACTTCCTTCCTTCCTTCCTCCCTCCCTCCTTCCCTCCCTCCCTTCCTCCTTCCCTCCTTCCTCCTTCCTTCCTTCCTTCCCTCCTTCCCCCCTTCCTCCCTTCCTTCCTTCTTCCTTCCTTCCCTCCCTCCTCCCTCCCTCCTTCCTTCCTTCTCTCCTTCCTCCTTCCTTCCTCCTTCTTCCCCTCTTCCATCCAGTCATTACTTATGAACTTAAAGATACCTTGAAGAGATGAATAACATTCCAGTATTCTCATATGCCCTTGAGAAAAAAATATATATCTGCAGCAGAGGGAAGGTTGGTATAATGTGAAGACTAAAAAAAAAAACTTAGATCAGAAATGGCATCCTTTCCTCCATCATTTCTCAAACTTTTGGCTTAAGTAGAGAGACAACATATCCTTATTTCTCCACCAGATCTGTTAGCCTGGTTTGCATGTGTGTTTGTGGATTTCTACCATATAAATGTATCCCTG